CCTACGGAAGCCTATCGAAATCCTATGGGATCCCGAAGGATTCCTAAGGAGTTCCATGGGATCCTTAGAGGATTCCGAGGGAATCCCAAGGAATCCGATGGGAATCCGATGGGAATCCTATAGGAATCCTATAGGATCCCTAAAGAAGCCTATAGAAATCCGACGGAAGCCTATGGGATTCCTAAGGATTCCTAAGCAATCCCAGGGGATTCCCGAGGAATCCTGTGACACCTCATGGGAGTCCTAAGGCATCCCTGGGAATCCTAGGGAATCCCCAGAAATCCTAGGGAATCCTTAGGAATCCTATGGAATCCCCATGGGATTCCTAAGGCATCTCTACTACCCTCGTCAAAATGAACCTCAACAGTTGCTGGCACGTCATGTCGATGTCGGCGCGCCCCTCAATGTCGACACGCCGCCTCTTCAATGTCGGGGCGAGGGCACAGATAGTCTGACCGAAGTTGACTCGAAAGTTTGACGTCGACCGACATTGGAGGGGCGGCGCATGCAAGTACCCCGCACTCATCGATACTCGGCCCCAGATCTTCCGACAAGCAGTTCAACCACGTCATACATTTTTGACATCAATTGTGACGAGGGTTGTAAGAATCCTGGGGAATCCCGAGGAATCCCAGGGAATCCTCACGAATGCTAAGGCATCCCTAGGAATCCGAAGGAATCCGTAGGAATCCTATGTAATCCTCACGAATGCTAAGGCATCCCTAGGAATCCTAGGGAATCCATCGGAATCCTATGGAATCCTCACGCATGCTAAGGCATCCCTGGGAATCCTAGGGACCCCCTAGGAATCCGATGGAATCCTCACGAATGCTAAGGCATCCCTAGGAATCTGATGGAATCCTTAGGGGTCCCTAAAACTCCGATGGCATCCTCACGAATGCTAAGGCATCCCTAGGAATCCGAAGGAATCCGTAGGAATCCTATCCCTAGGAATCCTAGGGAATCCATCGGAATCCTATGGAATCCTCACGCATGCTAAGGCATCCCTGGGAATCCTAGGGACCCCCTAGGAATCCGATGGAATCCTCACGAATGCTAAGGCATCCCTAGGAATCTGATGGAATCCTTAGGGGTCCCTAAAACTCCGATGGCATCCTCATGAATGCTAGAGCAGTTTTAGGAATCCTATGGAAGCCTAACGAATCCCTAGGAACCCAAAGCAGTACCTCATAATCCTGAGGTATCTTGCGGAACCCCTAGGAATCCTCACGAACCCGTGGGAATCCTAAGGAATCCGAGGGAATGCATAAGAATCCGATGGAATCCCTAGAAACCCAAAGGAAACCCTAGGACGCCTAAGGATTCTGTAGGAATCCCTTGGGCTCCTTAGGTATCCCTAGGACTCCAGAGGGATCCCTGGGACTCCTTAGGGACCCCTAGGAATCCTCAAGAACCCGTGGTCATCCCTAAACATCCCTAGGAGACCGAAGGAATCCCAAGGACTCCTAAATAATCCCTAGGTCGGGAATCCCTAGGAATCCCTGGGAATCCATTGGGTGTGCCTTGGGCTCCTAAGGAAACCCTGAGGAATCGCAGGCAATCCTAAGGAATCCCTGGGACTCCTGAGGAATCCTTAGAACTCTGTAGGAATCCCTCGGACTTCTTAGGAATCCCTGGGGATCCATTGGGACTTTTGGGGGTCCCTGGGGCTCCGAAGGAATCCCTAGGACTCCTCAGGGATCCCTAGGACTACTAAGGAACCCCTGGGACTCCTAGGGGACCCCTCGGACTTTAAGGGTTCCCTGGGGTTCCTAAGGAATCCTGAACAATCCCTTTAGGGATCCGCATAATCCTGGGGAATCCCTGGGCCCCCTTAGGGATCTCAAAGGTACCCTTGTGTAGGTTATAGATGTGTATATTATATAAGAGTGTACACCGATGTGTATATGCATATGTAGATATATGTATATATGTGTATGCATTCATATGCATATATATATATAGGTGTGTATGTATATGCATACAGATCTAAATATGCATATACGTATATTGCATATGCATAGTTTGAATCAAACATATATATATACAATTATACGTATACATATTGCTTATACACATGATCATGTGCATATACGTTATGAGTATATATATGTGTGTCTGTGTATGTATACATACATACATACATACATACATACATACATACATACATACATACATGGATACATATGTTTGTGTGTAGATGCACGATTTGGCATATGCACACACATATATATATATACATACACGGATACACATATATACGTATACATGTATACACAACTGGCCCAAGATGGCCCACGAAGTCTGGGCGGGGAATGTGCGCCGCCCCCAAGGGAGGAGAAGCCGAAGGAGGAAGAGGAGGAGGAGGAGGAGGAGGAGGAGGAGGAGGAGGGAGGAGGAGGGAGGATAGGGATGATGTCTGGGATTAGCAGCGGCAGGAAAAGGACGAAGAACTGCAGCGAAGTTCTGGTGCGCAAGGCACATTTGGCCCAGTCGGCCGTCACGGCGCCATGTGCGCCAGGTGCGCCACGCGCGCCACGTGCGCCAGGCGCGCCAGGTGCGCCAGATGCCAAGTGCGCCGGGTGCGCCACGTGCGCCAGGCGCGCCAGGCGCGCCAGGTGCGCCAGGCGCGCCGGGTGCGCCAGGTGCGCCATGTGCACCAGGTGCGCCAGGTGCGCCAGGTGCGCCAGGCGCGCCGAGTGCGCCAAGTGCGCCAGGTGCGCCAGGTGTGCCAGCCGCGCCAAGTGCGCCAGGTGCGCCATGTGCGCCAGGTGCGCCATGCGCGCCAGGTGCGCCAGGTGCGCCACGTGCGCCAGGTGCGCCAGGTGCGTCACGTGCGCCAGGTGCGCCAAGTGCGCCAGGTGCGCCAAGCGCGCCAGGTGCGCCAGGCGCCCCAACCGCGCCAGGTGCGCCAGGTGCGCCAGGTGCGCCAGGTGCGCCATGCGCGCCAGGTGCGCCAGGTGCGCCAGGTGTGCCAGGTGCGCCAGGTGTGCCAGGTGCGCCAGGCGCGCCAGGTGCGCCAGGTGCGCCACGTGCGCCAGGTGCGCCATGCGCGCCAACTGCGCCAACTGCGCCAACTGCGCCAACTGCGCCAACTGCGTCAGGCGCGCCAGGTGCGCAAGGTGCGCCAGGTGCGCCAGGTGCGCCAGGTGCGCCCGGCGCGCCAAGTGCGTCAGGCGCGCCAGGTGCGCCACGCGCCCCAGGCGCGCCGTGCGCGCCATGCGCGCCAGGCGCGCCAGGTGCGCCAGGTGCGCCAGGTGCGCCAGGCGCGCCAGGTGCGCCAAGTGCGCCAGGTGCGCCAGCCGCGCCAGATACGCCAACTGCGCCAGGTGCGCCAGGTGCGCCAGATGCGCCACGTGCGCCAGGCGCACCAGGTGCGCCAGGCGCGCCAGGTGCGCCAGGTGCGCCAGGTGCGCCAGGTGGGCCACGCGCGCCATGTGCGCCAGGTGCGCCAGGCGCGCCAGGTGCGCCAGGTGCGCCAGGCGCGCCAGGTGCGCCAGGTGCGCCAGGTGCGCCAGGTGCGCCAGGTGCGCCAGCCGCGTCAGATACGCCAAGTGCGCCAGGTGCGCCAGGTGCGCCATGTGCGCCAGGTGCGCCATGCGCGCCAGGTGCGCCAGGCGCGCCAGGTGCGCCATGTGCGCCAGGTGCGCCATGTGCGCCAGGTTTGCCATGCGCGCCAAGTGCGCCAGGCGCGCCAGTTGCGACAGGTGCCCCATGCGCGCCAGGCGCGCCAGGCGCGCCAAGTTGCGCCAGGTGCGCCAGGTGCGCCAGGCGCGCCAGGTGCGCCAGGTGCGCCAGGTGCGCCAAGTGCGCCAGGTACGCCAGGTGCGCCAGGTGCGCCAGGCGCGCCAGGTGCGCCACACACGCCAGGCGCGCCAGCGGCTGGGTTGCTGGTTGCTGGTTGCTGAGGGGGGGGCCGGGTTGTTAGGTGCAGTGTCAATCATCATCATCATCATCATCATCATCATCATCATCATCATCATCATCATCATCATCATCATCATCATCATCATCATCATCATCATCAGCATCAGCATCATCATCATCATCATCATCATCATCATCATCATCATCATCATCATCATCATCATCATCATCATCATCATCATCATCAGCATCATCATCATCATCATCATCATCATCATCATCATCATCATCATCACCACCAACACCACCACCACCACCACCACCACTAACAACAACAACGACAACGACAACGACAACAACAACAACAACAACAACAACAACAACAACAACAACAACAACAACAACGACAACACCAACGAAGTCATACGTCCGGGATTGCGTAAGACACTGACTTCCCATGCGTGCAAGCCCTCCAAATGCGGCCTCGTTTGAGGTCAGATAGTGGCTCGATGCTCTCCATATTAAGACACTGATTGGGCGGAGGGGGGAGGAGGGAGGAGGGACGAGGGGAAGGAAGCAAGAGGGATCACTGTACGACATACTGCTAGTCGGAACTATACGGCGCAGGGAGGCACCTCCCGAGTGGGGGGGCCGAGGAGGGGGAGGAAGGTCGGTTACACGCAAGAGTGACTTTTGACAAGTATGACTTTTTGTGCGCAGCCTGAGGAGGCGCGGGGGGCCATGCCCGAGCGGGCACGCCGCTGCCATCGTAGTGCGTTCTGCGATCGGGGGCCCCCCACAGCCCCGCACCAGTGGTCACTCCAGCGAAGGGACGCTGCTACGAGCCCCAACCGCGGAAACATTCGTTCCTGCCCCTCCTCCTCCTCCTCCTCCTCCTCCTCCTCCTCCTCCTCCTCCTCCTCCTCCTCCTCCGCCCCCCGTGGGGGAAACCTAACGATACCGATGCCGCTGCTCCCCCCGTGACCTCTCCGGGGTGCGCTCTGACCAGGCTTTCGACGCGAATCCAGCGGTGGCGGCGAGGGCCTCCCGGGAGGCCCCCCCAGGAGGGGAAAGCGAGGGAAGGCGCACCGGCATCGGTACACGTTCCTCCTCTGTTCCCCGAGCCCGTCCGCCTGCCCCAGCGGCACGGCGGCGTCGAGCAGCGTCTTGAACAATCTGCGGGACTCCGCGCACGCCATGTAGGCCTGCACCGTGATCGTGGGAGCGGCCGGCAGGGACCGAAGGGGCGAACCAGATGCACTGGATCGGGCCGCGTTGGCGCGTCGCGGGAACCGAATCAGATCTGCAAGCAAGGAGAAGCGGCACCACCACCACCAGGGACCACCAACGGGAGGAGCAAGGGGGGATCCCCCTGGTTTTGTCCCCCCTCTCGCTTGAGAGATCCTCTATCCATAGGACGGGGAGGCATCGTGGACATCCTCGTTAGGGGTGGCTCCCCGGTGATTGTGATGTCGCGTCTCCTTCGCCCGTCGGATCGGACGAGCCAGGATACACAGTAGCACCATGAGGGCATCGGGCCGCATCGGGCCCCGGAATATTGGAATCGAATCGGATCGAGCAGGCTTGGATCGACGCCGAACCGAATCGATCGGATCGAATGGACCCTGGGCCGACGTCAAAGTCGTCGTCGGTATCCCCGTCGTCGCCGCCGTCGTCGCTGACCCTTGGGGATCGAGGCTCGGGTGTACAAACGCCGCCTAGAAGTAGTTCCGCTTGGCCTCACCACTGAGCATCGTTTAACCGATCTCTATTCCCACGGGCGTGGCCTGGGCCACACTAGCCGGTTTATCCCCCTAGATGGGGATATAGGCTGTTACCTTCGAGTGTCGAGAGGCATATCCCCAACTAGGATGGTGGGATGGTGGGGATCTGGACGGGGATGGAGAAGGGTTAAGCGATGCTGAACCATGCCGGCTCTGCCTCTGCCGGCGCCACTTGGGCGCTCCGCCTCCCCAGCCTGGCGTGTTGAGACCGCCCCGGACTACCCGTGAGGCCTGCTGAGGCCAGGCTTCGGAGGGCTGTCTGTGCGCAGAGCCGAGCCTCGATTCTGGAGGGGCGGTGTGGGGCGCGGAGCGTCTCATGGGCGCCGCCAGCGGCAACGCCGGGGTGCTGAGACCGCTCTGGACTTCGATGCCAGAAAGGCCCTGTATACCCTGAGGGTGCTATGTGGCGGCAACCGGAAGACCTGAACCCCCTAAAACATTGCTATCTATTGGGGGCGCATTTTTTCTTTCTTCCGCTGACTTCCACCGGCCTTCCGCCGGCATCCGCCGGCGGAGGTGGCCTCGTTCTACTTCCGCGGGCTTCCGCCGCCCTTCCGCCGCCTCCCGCCGAGGCAGAGACGGCAACTCCCTCGATCCTCGAAGGCGAGGGCCTTTCTGGAACGCCTGAGGTGTGCGCAACCCCGACCCCTCTTGCAGAAGAGCCCATAATCGAAGCGAGAAGTCGGATCGGAGATCGACATGACTCGGATCGACGGAAATCGGCAGCCGAGTCGGGAAAAGTCGAATCGAAGGAAATCGGCAGGCTAGCAGGCATCCGCTGAAGCATCGGAATCCCAAGTCGAATCGGATCGGAATCGGAATCGATCGAAATCGAATCGAATCGAAAGAATCGAAATGAGCCCTGCCTTGTGCCTCCAGAGGGCCTGAGCGGCAGCCTTCGGGGGTCCCTCGGCCCGGGGGCTGCAGGCAAGGGCCTCAGAGGCCAGGCCTTCGGAGAGACCTTCGAGTGGAGGCTTTTCTGGAGGCCTCCCAAAGTCGTTGTCGCCAGAGAAGGCAGCGGCGGCGTCGTCGTCGGCGGCGAGGGGGATGGAGGCGGAGCTGTTTCTGTATTGTTACTACTTTGAACAACGGAGGCGGTGCCCCTGACCTTCTTTGTTGACCACCATGCGTTGATGACACGATTGCGCACATTTGGCGGGAGGCGGAGCTGTTTTTTGGGGGTGGTCTGGGGGGATCTGGTGGCCTCGAGGGGGAGGTGGGTGGAGGGGGCCCAGGGGGAGGGCAATCGACCAGCCCTCCCACGTTGCGAGAGCAAACATCGTGGCGGGCATCCTCCCAAGCTCGGCCTCCTTCCAGGAGGCCTCTCCAGGGAGCCCCCTCGGAGGCTCCTCAGAGAAGCCGCCCCTTCGTCGGCTCGCCCCTCTCCTGGAGGTTCCTCTGAGCCCAGGGCCGTGGGCCGTGGGCCGTCTTAGGAGCTCCCGCAAGGGCGGTTTGGGCTACACAAAGATGTTCCCGTCCTGTGGCCTGGCCGAGTACCACCGTCTTGGGCTTTTCAACACGGGGTCCCCGGAAGTCCCGACCCTTCCCGAAGGACGGCCTTTCATCCTGAGTCGTTCCCTGACGGCCCTGGGGCCCCCTCCGAAGAATAATAAGAAGAACAGGTCCGCCGTGATGCTGATCAAGACGTTGGATATCTGGGCCCCTGGGTCTGTGCCTGCAGAGGCCTTGGACCCGAGAGCCACGGTGCAAGGCACGTCTGCCAGGGCTGTCCGGGCAAGGGGCGGCTGACTAGTTAACGGCGGAGCCTTGTCCTGCATGTGCACGGCGACGGCGCTGAAGCCCTCCTGAGGAAAAGGATCGGCCCGCGCGAGCCCGCCGCCGTGGCCGCCGTCGTCGCCGGCGCTGTCGCAGTCGTCGCCGTCGCAGCGGCAGTCGCCGTCGTCGTCGCCATCGCCGTCGCAATCGCCGCCACCGCCGCCGTCGCAGTCGCCGACCGGGGGCACGAGGAAAACGAAGTGGGCGCACTGGCCAGCAGTGGCCGCTCAACTCCTGTGCAGAACCCTGCGGTGGCCTGGTGCTCAGGGGAAACGGGCGCGGTGGGCTTGGCCTGATCGGAAAGATCTGCTGTTCATCGCCTGCTGCTGGCCCAGAGATGCGACGTCATATCTTTCAGTACGGGCAATACGGCCCCATCCCGAATCGTTCTGTGACGGCCCCGAGGCCCGGAGAGGGCCACTGGAGGCCGAAAACCGCAAAACAATACCGTCGTGACTTTTCCACGACGCGAGCATGTCTGTGGGTTCGAATACACTGTATTGCGCCTGCTCTAGAACAGGAACGCAATCTAGACGGATCTATCCTTTCTCCGACCTTGCTCTGGCTTGGAGCTGCGCTATGGCAACAAGTCGATAAACGACGAAAGCGCAGAGAATCTGACGGACAAAGAGCCAAGACATCTGGTTGCTCGACCTGTTAGAAGCATTGGCCACTGCAACACCTCTCAACCACTTGCCCCGGGGCCAACTCGTCTTCCCCATCCGTGTAGCCGGCCTCCAAATTGAAAAAATACCGGCTGTCTCGATTTTCCCGAGCCGCCGGATATTTGGGGGCTGCTGGCAGGAGACAACGCAGAAGAGCGCGCGCTGTAACCAATTTGTCCTTTGTCCCGCCCATCTTGCCGCTCTCGGCCATGGCCACCTTTCACGCAGGACCCAGCCACGCTGAACACCACAACTCTCTGTACGTTTATCTCTCTAACTCCCTTGCTCTCCCAGTCCGTTCCTCCCTCTTTCTCACTCTCTCATCCCTTACGTTTCATTGCAATTGACGCTCGCATTGCCCCGAGTTCACACACACACGCGTGCACTCGCGTGCGCACTTTCACCCCCTCTTGATTATTATGCTTGTTCATCCCTGTCTCTCTCTCTCTCTCTCCCTCCCTCCCTCTGTCCCTCTGTATGTGTACGTATTCATGTTTGTATATATATCTGTAAATATATGTGATTTTATATGTCGGCGGTTTGGGGGGGTGAGATCGAAAATAAACAGTGATCAACCCACCGGATATCGGTTTCGGTTTCGTGCTCGAGCGTGCGAGCGAGGCCAAGCTGCGTGCGCGGGGGAGAGGAGTGATCCCGCCGCTGCTAGCGGTTGGCGGATTTTGGGCCGGGATTGTCCCGCAGTTGTCCCGTGGTGGTCCTGTGGCTATTCTGCGTATGTCCCGATGGCTGTCCCGACGGTTGTCCCGATGATTGCCCCGATGGTTATCCTGACGGTTGTAATGATTGTCGTCCCGATGGCTGTCTCGATGGTTGTCCCGTTGTCCCGATGGTTGTCCTGATGGTCGGCTGATTGGCTAATTGATGTGAGATCGAGCTATGGACAATGAGGCCGACCGATAAGTCGACAAACCGACAGATTGATTCAGACCGGTGGAAAGATAGTGATATCGAGATACGACAGTGATACCAATGGATGGATCGTGAGACTGGTACATGTGAAGATAACGAGGTCGATATATGCGTAGTTAATTCGATGTACAACTCGAAAGACCAACGCAATGTGTACCGATGGTTGTCCCCATGCTTGTTCACATTGTCGTCCCCATGGTTATCCCGACGGCTGTTTGATGGATCGATCGTGGGATCGATAGAGATATCAAGTGGCCGATAGGGAGGTACACCGACACATCGATTGAGAATGGCATCGACAGCCAGACGGTGGGATCGATTGATCTTATGTTCGACAGATAGTGCGTGATGCCGACAAACTTCGAATGAGAGATCAACCAACGTGCCTCGAGGAAAGACGTGGAGTGCTTCCCAAGCTTCTTGAGGGTCGTTCGGCCGATAACGCCAAGAAATTAGATGTTGAAAAATAGTGCACGTGCAAACGGAAACGCCGATACTTGTCGGGCCCCAGCAACCGCCCGCTCGGTGGTCGTCAATGTTGCGTTCGCGTGTTTGCGCGGCCGGCATCGAACCAACTGTTATTGTGGCGGCTCACCGTGTCGCCAAAGTGCCTCGTATTGAAATATTCTCATTGGGGGCAAGGGGACCCATCATCTCGCATATTCTGGGCGCTCCCGCGCGCCCTCGCTCGCTCTCGGGCTTCCACGCGTGACTTCTCTCCAGAGGCCCGATGGCCCCTTGTGACGGGCCAAGAGGTCCCCAAGAGGCCCCCAAGAGGGCCCCCAAAGGCCTAAGAGGGCCCCCAAAGACTGTCCAAAATGGCCGCGGGTCGCCCGAATACCGCTACGAGACGCAAGATGGCCCACATACGGCCTAAGAGGTCCCTAAAACGCCCCAAGAGAGCTCCAAGAGACTCCCCAGGCGGGCCTGGAGAGGCCCAAATCATTGATTTCCAATCGGTGGTTGAAAGAATTCAGTGCTGTCGCCTGCCCAGGCATTCGACGTCCCAAGTCGGCCCAAGAGGCCCCCAAGAAGGCTCCAGAGGCCCCCAACAAAGAACGCACCCGGACGGCCCATGATAGCCGCAAGACGGCACAAACGGCCCCCAAGACGGCCCAATAGGGCCCCAAGGGGGGGGCCGAAGAGAGGCCCCAGAGGGGGAACACAAACAGACCTACATATCGAGCCCTTCGCCCCAAGATGGACCCCAAAACTGCCAGCAGGCCCCCACCCAAGATGCCGTCCACAAGCTCCAGAGGGCCCCTAAAAGATACAAATCCGACCCCGAAAGGCCCCCAGGCCCCCAAGAGACCGTCTCCGAGACCCCCGCGAGGCCACCAAAACCACATTCAAAAGGCTTCCGAGAGGCCTCCTAAGAGATTCCCACAGGCATCCCAGAGGTCCCTGACATGCAGCCCAGGCACGGTGGCGGGATGGGTTGCAGGCCACTAGATATATGCATATGTATATCTGTGTGAGTCTATATTTAAACGTACAAACATACAGAGAGCAGTGTGCTTGTAGCCATAGATGCAGCCCATCAGGTGTGTATATATATATACACATCTACAGTTGGCAACATACGTGAGCAAACTAGATATATATATATATATATATATATGCGGTGCGACCAATGTTGTGCAAGCTATGCGGTGCCATACATGTGGTGCGATGTTTGTTGTGCCATCTGTGTGGTGCTATCCATGTGGTGCAACATTTGCGGCGCCATTCGTGTGGTGCAAGTCACCCATGCTCGCAGTGAGTTGTCAAACCCACAACCCGCGCAATTATCCCACCCACCCACCCGCAACTTGGTTTGCAAAACCAGCTGTGGTGGCGCTGACCGCTGGGCACTTCCCAGCGGGCACTCCAGTGCGAGTCCGAGATTTGGGCGGGGGCGGCATCATGGCGACATCGACATCGGTAGACACGATTGTGAGTAGCGGTGATGGTAGCGATGGTGGCGACGACGACGGCAAAGCCAATGACGGCGCCGATGTTGATCACGCCCGCCGATAACGATGACGATGTCCTCGCGTCGGCGATGCAGGCTTTGGAAGGAGATCGACAAATGCGCGCGGCCAACGCGCGCGAGTGGCACGCGTGGTGTTATTCAACACGGATCGTGCCACCCCTCCCCCCCAAGCACGCGCGCAAGCGCGTTCGAATGAATTCGGCATGCGGCGCTAAAGGCCCGTTTGGCAAAAGGGGATGCACATGTTGACAACATCTGACCTTCTTGAGAATCCGCAAGGGCGCGCGCGCGAACCAAGTGTTGTTGCAAAGCCAGGTGTTGTTCATATGTGTCCGGGACACTCGATTTTGAAAGCCTTGCGAAACCTAGGGTTTTTGAAAGGTTTCGGCATGCGCGCGCGACGACGCGCGCGTGTGCACGTCGTCCCGTTTTTGCAATGGAGTCTTGCGGCAGCACGCGCGCAAGGGCGTTCGAGCGCTTTCGACACGCGATAGGCCCGTCTGGTAGCATTGTATGACAATGTTGTAAGCCTAATGGTTTGCCGAAGAACCTGCCTGAGAGCGACTGCAGGCTTCTTGGAAAACCCTTGTTGTGATACCGTGTGTTTTTAATCTGTTTCGGGACACTCGATTTTGCAATGCGTGCGACACCTTTTTCTTATATACATATATACATCTACATATATAGAGAAAGGGACATAAGAAAAAACGGCATCTGGGCGCGACGACGCGCACGTGTGCCCTTCGTCCTTTTTGTTTTGCGAGGGGCTTTTGACAACTGATGCTTTTTGATTAGCGAGTGCGCGCGCATCAAAGGATTTACAAAAGATAAAGGGGGGGGCGATACCGGTCTGCCTGGGATGAAACGAATTCATATTAGGAAAGACGATGGGGCAAGATCACATGTAAATTGCAATATGTAAAAGTGTACCGTTCACCCCGAGGAGGGGTAGATCCTCATACTTTTTTGGGGGAGAAGAACCTATGAGGGGCGGCGACGGCGAGCACGGAGCCGCCAGACCGCCAATCAAACACAAACGACGGGCGGCGACGAAGCGGCGACGGCGAGCACAGAGCCGCCAGACCGCCACCTGGGCCAGGGTGGCAACATGGCGGCGACGGGGCGGCGACGGCGAGCACGAGGCGGCCAGACCGCTACCAAGGCCCAGTTCCCCAGGAAAGACATAAAATCCCGAAGTGCAAACACTGCTTGGGGAATATGTAGCATGTGTGCTGAAAGATCTGCGATGGTATCGGTAGGTAGATTGTGAGATATATCGATCGTGATATCGATGGGTAGACTCGATGGGTAGACAGACCGATAGCGGTTGCCCTGGTGGTTGTCCCGATGGTTGTCCCGATGGTTGCCGGGATGGTTGTCCCGATGATTGTCCCGATGGAAGATTGATCGATTAACAAGGATCTTGGTGTATTCATAAGGAGGCCGACCGATAAAGATATCGATTACTAAAACGATCAGAATGACGGGGGCCAAAAAGAGATGTTCTGTCCCTGGGCGCGTCGTGTGAGGTCCCGCGGTGCGGAGTATTGGTGTTCTTGTGCTGCATTGCTTGTTGCTTACTGCTTGTTGTCGTTGCCCCACCCGCGACCTGGCCCGCGACCCACCCGCGCCAATCGAGCGAGCAAGTTGGGCGGGGTCGGGTCGGGCGGGCAGGATGTTAAGTGCGTGGTGCTCGTGTGCTCGCTCGCTCGCTCGAGCCAGCGAGCGAGCGAGGGAAGGAGGGGGGCAGTTCCCTCGCTCGCTCGCTCGCCTCGTCGAGCGAGCGGGCAAGACAGGCCTGGGGTCTCAAATGATCTTACCAGGGGTCGATTGGGCTCTAGATTTGTCTTACCCGTGCTCGACGAGTGGCCCAGGGCCCCTACGATGGCTCCAAGGCGCCCCAAGACGACTTCGAGGCGCCCCAAGAGGACTTTTCAAGAGGGCCCCGAGAGGCAAACATCAATGGTGGTCTTCCTGATGATGTTCATTGTTTCTGGGGTTATCGCTCCAAGACGATCCAAAGTGCACCGTAGACCGTCCCCAATCTGCCTACGAGGCCCCCCCTACAAGGGCCCCAGGACGGCCCAAGAGGCTTTCAAGACGGCCCAAAGAGAGGCCGAAGACGGCCAAAAATCGCCCCAAGAGGGCCCCAAGAGAGGCGACGAGGGAGAACACGAACCGAACATACAATCTTTCTACCCCAAGAAACCCCCAAAGGCCCCCAAAAGCCCCCAAGCGGCCCAAAAGAGGCCCCCAACAAGCCTCAAGAGGCCCCCAGCAGGGCCAAAAGAGGCCCCAAGGAGGCCCCCTAT